AGAATGATGGTGGATGGATGGCTGAGACCGCGGTTCCTTAGACTGGAGTTTTGGCCAACGCTTTCTTGAAAATGAACAAAGTAAACATGTCACTTCAGGGAAACAACTAAAAGTATTTGTCGCCAGTGATCTAATTTTCACTTGAAAGCAGAGATTTTAACTTAGGAAAACTTACATCCACCACTGCAAGCTCGACAGCGTCTCAGTTCTTAAAAGACTGATGTGAGCCGGGGGTGATATTAGTAAATGTGACTTTAAAATATATGTATCTTTTTATGTTAAAAGTTTCCACATTTTGGAGATGTGCAGAACTCAGTGAATATTTTCACGTGGGCAATGCACGTTACACAGCAGCCACGCACGAATGGAAAACTCCATTCAAAGTGCAAGGTGGACCGATGATTTCAACGTGACAGAGTGTGAGCGTTCGTTGATACAGTTGTGGATTCCCCGCGTACCATTCGTCAAGTTTCAATGTAGAATGAAGACTGTTCACAGTTGCTGGCAAGGCCCACATCCTTTGAATGCTTCAGCCAGACCCCTTCACAGCAGACAGCTCAGGAGCAAGTCAGAGACTCCAGCTGTGTTCTAGTCAGCCAGGGGGTAAAGAGACTCACAGAAATGGAAAACAATCTCCCCCTTCTGGTGGAATTTTTTGTTATTTTTTAAGAAAAATATCGTTTGGATTACATGTAATAGGTTTTGTCACTCTCAAATGAGTTATTAAATATTTTTTGAAATTTATTTCTAGAATGGTAAATTTTGGTAGAATTTTACCCGCATAAACGAAAGTTCTCAGAGGTCCTTAGTAATTTTTAAAACTGTGAAGGGGTCCTGAGACCGAAAGTTTGAGTACCGTTTGTTAGGGATGAGGCGTCTTGAGCCGCTCGTCGTCATGACGACTGTGAATGGGCACGAAAGGCGCCTGGTTTTTTTTTCCTGGCCTGTTGAGCTCGTTTGAGATTCTTGTGACCGTTTAAGATGTTCGTTCATTCTGGGCAACTCATGCCACAAAAGTTGTTTTATTTGGGTGTTTTCATATAAACAGACCTAATGAGAAACCCACTGATGAGAAGAGACGCCAAGTATACCCGCCTGTTTTTGTAAATGAAGATTTACTGGCACACAGCCATGCCCGTTTCTGTATCTGTCGTCTGCACAGTGGCTTGCCTCAGTGGCAGAGTTGAGTAGTTCTGGCAGAGACCCTCCGGCCCCCAAGGCCTGAGACATTTGCTCTCCAGCCCTTTACGGGAAGTTTGCCGACTGCTGGTTGACGCAGACATTTAAAGAGAGACCAGTTTTAAAGCCATTTGTATAGCACAGCGCTGTTGACTGCTGGTTTCACCCTATGCTGAGCACTTAGAAACATATAAAGCTGACTAGGTAAAAGAAGTGACTGCTTTTAAGTAAGTACTTACTGAACTGCAACTTTGTGTACAGAGCTGTGTTCTTTATTGTCTGGGACAATAGCTTTTGCATCCTCATCTGCTCTGCTGTCTTTTTGTGTTCAGAACTGTGTTCTTTATTGTCTGTTTGGAACAATAGCTTTTGCATCCTCATCTGCTCTGCTGTCTTACCCAACCTGGTACCTGTGGGAGTCTTCGCTTTTCTTTGACTGACAAGCGGCCTTTAATATGGATCACCCTCAGTTTACCAGCAGAGCTTTGGGCTCCACGGTGCCCCCTGGGCCGATGTTCGTGAGCACCGTGTGCCCTGACTCGTGTTCCTGGTAATAATGACAGGCTTGTGCAACCCTTATGTCCACTTTCCACGTGGAAACTAAGGTGGCCTCAGACCCACTGGTGCTGTCAGCGGTGAGGATTGTCAGTAGGTTAAACTTGGAGACTCTGGGTCAGAAGCCTCAGGGGAGAGGGGGAGGTCAGGGGAAAGAGGGGAGCCTCCCAACGGCACGTTTTGCTGCGATGCCCCCTCCCGGCTCTGGGACTGGGCGTGGCCTGGGCAAAGATGCTGTCCCCCAGAGCCACAGGGTGCTGCCGTCCACACTGCCGTGGAGGGTGGCCCACTGAGCCCCCTCTGGAGCCCTGTCTCGTGGAAATAGAGAAGAAGGGGCAGAAGAAATGAGATTCCCTTTATCCGGGGACTCAGAACGTTTTCATCCTCCTTTTGTCCCCGTGTAGCCAGAGCACGTCCTCGTAAACCCATTCCTGTCCGCGACGTCCAAGGCCGCACCGTGAGAGCACCAGAGACAGCCTCCTGCTCCAGGAAGCTGGACTGCGGGCGGGCAGAGGACACCTTCTCCCCGGGAGATGCGATGGGAATGCTTATAAAGCTGCTGCAGCTCTCATGGCTGGGATACGTCAAGCCCCCAAGGATTCTGCCCTGCACGCAGGGCCACCTCACATTAGTGTGTCGCTGACCCTCTAATTCATGGGGCACCCATGAATGCATTACACAGAGAGGGGGGCTGTGCGCACCAGAAGCTGTAGGGGACATTTTGAGCGTGCATATATTTAGCTGGGCAGAGGGTCTGTGGCTCTCAGCAAATTTGGAAAGGAGGCTGGGACCCCAGAAAGGGTAGAAACCAGAGCTGAACAGACTACCATTGAGAGAACAAGAGAGAAAAAGTATACTTTGGCTTAATACAATAATTTTTCATTTCTCGTAATCATCAAAAACCTCTTTTCACTACTTTCCTCTAGCAGATCACTCAAAATTCCTTTATCATTATCAACCTAATGGCTCTGATCACTACTGTGAAATAATCAATTCACCATTGTGAAATGATCAATTAACCTGAGTTAATATCCTCTACAACCAAAAGCAGAGGCCTCTCATACCCCCAGCCTGAGAGGCAGCCCATCGTGGAGACAATGCCAGTTTTTTATTACGCCTTCAGAACATGGGGCGCCTCGCTACCTTGGGGGGCCCTCAGCCACCCAACGGGCCTGTTAGCAGTCGGGGGTGGCGTGCCGTGCTCGGTTCCGAGCGTGGTTCTCGTACAGGTGGGGTGGGCATGCGTTCGCGTTCCACGAGTCTTGAGAAACTTGAAACCAAGTCGTCTTGGTTGATCACTGCAGTATTCGGGGGGGTGAGGTTCTCTTATTGAGAGGTGCTGTCTGCTGTCGACCAGGCTGTGTCGTCAGGCAGTGGCACATCTGACCTTCCTCGCCCAGCCCGTTGCTGGCCGGGAATCTGTGCCGTGGGCCTCAGGGGAGCAGCGGGCTGGCAGAGGTGGGTCAGCGGGCCCCACAGGGCTGTGGGTGGGCTCTAGGGCAAAAGGGAGGCGAAGACAGAGACTTACTGGACTTGACCACAGAACTCTTCCAGAGTAGCCTCTTCTGCTGTCGCACGGTGTCGGCCACTCGCTCGGGCTATTTTTGCCTTTGTTGGATGCTTTTTATTATTTAAGGTAACATATTGCTTATGTGAGACACACAGTCTTTAACTATTAGTTTGATGACTCCTGGGTCATTGTTTTAAATGTGTATTGGAAATGTATTTTTGAACCATTTTTTATATAACAACAGTTTGAAAATCAAGAACTTTTATTCTCTGCAGAATTCTTATCTCAGCCCTTCTTGGACTTGCTGTCAGTACAGTCTTCGTGAGATCCATTAGTGGAGTCTCCTCTTAGTGGAGGCAGAGGGCACCCCGTCAGTTAGTCATCCCCAGAATGGACCCTTTCAGACCAGGGCGGCCCCCAGGCGCGTACTTGACCGTGACCGGGGGAAGCTGCCCCGGCCCGAGCCCAGGGCCTGAGCAGCTTGTGCAGGTGCTAAGGTGCTAAGGGTAATGGCGAGTCAGAGACATTGCGTTTTCATTCTTGCTTTTGACTCAGAATTCCCTGTGAAGTACAGCAGGGAGAGCAAAGGATCATGGGTAGGTAGGGGTGTTTTGAAGCCTCGAGGCTCTCCTTACACCAGGGAAGGGTTGTTTTGGAAAATTTTTACCCTTTAAGCAGCTGCTGTTGGCCTTTGCTCTGTGCGTCCCGTACCCTGTTCAGGACTGACTGCCCAGGGAGGGTTGCTGGCAGCTCCCGGGCATCGCCTGGCATGTTGAGCCACGCTGGCATCCTCCTGAGCTGCCGGTGGACTACAGAGCTGTGAATCGCCTTCCTGTCGGTCTCTGAGAGCTTGGTCCTTGGAAGGAGGTAGACTTGGGTTTGAGGACTGGCCTCTCACTTACAAAGCTATGTGACCTTGGTAATTTGTACTAAGCTTCTCCAGGCCTGAGTCCTTCATCTGTGAGGCAGTGGTAACTGTGCCCGCCACCCAGTCTTTGAGGGTTACAGGGGTGAAGCATTGGGGGTGTCCAGCCCGGTGCCCGGCACATGGTTACCACTCAGTAGATGGTGATGACCAGTGCTGTCATTACCATCGTCACAGTCCTCTGGGGAGGCGGGGGACGACCTGTCTTCTTGCCGGCCTGCTTAGTTACTCTTTGAAAGAGGAGAGGCAGAAGTCTGGGAGGGGGCGGCACCCCCTCCACACAGGGTGCGTTTACTCTTTGGCTGCTGGGTCAGAGGGGTTGCTGACTTGGGCACCTGCAAGGTCCGGGCACGTCCTGCCTCAGGGAGCACCTGTTCTGTTCTCGTCAGTAAAGAGCACTTGCCGAAATGCGGAGTCCTGGCCACGTTCCTGAGAGTGGGAGGGTGGAAGAGGAGCCCACAGCAGGAGGTCGGCCCTGTGGGAGCCCCGAAGCCCCTGCCCGCCCTCTCCACCCCACGCTCTCCTTCCCTGTTCCCCGGGAGGTTTTTCAAGATCCTCGGAGCCAGGCCCTGTTCCTTACAACGAGGCGGCAACTGTGTTAAATGAAGCTCCTGGGTGATTCTGGTGCTCGCCCCGGTTAAGGACCATTGCCAGAAAGAATTTGGTCTCCACGTGAGGGGACCGATGCCCCGAGAAGGAAGTGGCAGGCCAGGCTCAGGCACGCTGCGTTACGAGGGTCCCCTGGCTCCTGTCCGGGGCATCTTTCCTCTCAGCGTGCTCATTCTTTTACCATATTTGCTGTTCCTTGTGGTGGGGTCAGAAATAGCCAGGCCGACTTGGTGAGCCTGTCCTCCCGGGGGGCCCTGCCCTCCTGGGGCGCCCAGCCCTGCCACGGTCCAGTGAGCGGCAAGCTGTCAGCATTCTCAACTCCAGGGAACGCTTTTTTGGAAGAAAAAGGGAAGGCTTGGGATTCCAGGCTGTGACCTGCTGCGTCACTGCTCGTTGCATAATGCTGGCAAAGTCCCCCTCCTGCAGCTGGCTGGTCCCCCGTGCGGCAGGCTGACTTGTCGTGTGCATATGGCAGCCCCGCTTCTAGGAGAGCCCAGGTCACCGCTCATTCCAGTTTAAGTTCCTAGCGTCTGGCATTCTGCCAGCCGTGGCAGCCACTGTGAGACAGCTTATGCCACATTTGGTTCGGTTGATATTAAGTATTCCTAACATAATCCTCATACTGTAACATCAGACATTCATCGAGTGGTTACAGTTTGCTGTCTGCTCTCTACCTGCCGTCTCGTTAATCCCCCCAACAACCCTAGTGGTAGGTGGTGGTGTTCTCGTTTTACAGATGAAGAAACAAACTCAGAAAGGTTAGGAGACTTATCTGAGGTCACACAGCCAGGAAGCAGCAGAGTTGGAATTTGAACCCAAGGGCCTGCACTGTTACCCGCTCCCGTTTCTTAGGCACTAAGCAAGCTCCCTCCCTCCCTCCCTCCCTCCGCTGCCTCTGCTGCATAGGGCCGGGGGGCCTGATCTTCTGAGCAGCTGTCTTCACGTGCCTGGAGATGATGCCTGCCAGGACTGGTGGGTTGTAGGAACAACTTTGAGCTCTGCTTATCGAGGCTGTGATTCTTAGGGACAATACCGGCTGTTCCCAAGGTCCACTTGTCAGTCCTAGCACATGTCCTGGACTGGCCTAGCGTCGCTGCCCATGCCGGCACTTCCTCACGGGGCGCCGGATGTGGGTGTGCAGGCTC